AATTCCCGAACTTTTTGATCATTTTGACGAACCATCTTATGAAATTTCGCCCTTTCACGGCATTCAAAACTGGTGCATTTTACATGATTTAATAATAGCTCTTTAAGAGTTGCATAAGGAAGTGAGATAGGTTTTTCTGGATATGCCAAAGTTTTTAGTAAGCTGTAAGCTTCTCTCCCAATGAATGTCAGGAAATGTGCCACAATTTTATCACCTTCGACATCTTTCTTAGTCATGCTCCAGATTTCAAACCTTTCCAAATAATCCTCAAATGCTTCCGAAGTTGAATGAATGTCCAACTTTTCCATTGCAGGTTGCATCACGACGTCAGTATAATGTTTCGAATTATTGGAATTACAGCACTAACTAAGAGTCCCAGAAATAACGCAATTGAGTTAAGAAGACACAGGCACAACCGCATGTACTGTATTTAGAATTCGAAATCGTACAATCAACCAGTACAATAGTATCATTAGTTCGTTCAAACACCACACCACATTAGATACACTAGGTTCTTTAATATCAACACTTACTCCTAAACAATTTTTTTACTACACATTAGGCTAATTCGAAACCTATATTAATGAATTGTTTGGAATCATATCAGAAGTTATCTCCTCCAAAAAGCTCAATATACTAACGCAGCTGCATCTGTCCTACTTGCTTAAAAGTCGTTAATCAGAGCATTGCAGATCGACGTTCGTTTGTTGACAACATGACCTTTATTTTGGGACGAATGCACTGCTTTTCTTATGACTTAATAATCCTTTAAGTTACGGTTATGTATTTACTGACCGATGAGGAAGCTAATAAATCGTTATCCTATGCAGTAACAATCTAAGTGTTAATCAGAAGAGCGTCATTCGGAACAGATGTACTACGTATATGTTCCCGGAGGACTAGGTTATCCAAATAATATTAATCTTGATATCATGAACATGACTTGTTTCTCCAGATAGCTTCGGTATACACTATAAGCTTGCAGGATATGGCAACGCATAAACCTGTCATGAGCATCTGTGCAGGTTACTAATACCGGTCTACCTTCCCATACTGCTGAGAATATGGAAAGAAGTAATTATGGATTATTGCATATGCTATTAGATCATTGCTAATGCAAAAAGTACATTCGATCACACGTCATTGTGAAATAAGTTCATGATGTGATTTGGCTTCCCTGATAGTTGTCCGAGTATTTAAATAAGTAAGGTTGGCATATATTAATGATAGCAAAAGTTCTCTGTACAATTGTGTTGTCCTAGATTGACAGCTCCATAGTATCGTTACTAGGATGTATTACGGGACAACGGATTGATTACTCATCACGTGCACGTCATGTTATCTGAAAATATCGGAATTATGTTTCTCTTACATGCTTGAAAACGTTTGCGCATTTCAAAACTCATCCCATTTCAAAAACCTCGGAAAAAAGACTGCCTGTCAGTTAGGTAAGTAGAAATACTCTTAGAAGCATTTAACGCAGTAATACTACTGGATAAATGGACAAAAACTACCGAGTCACGGAAAGATAAAATATGCATACCCGCCTACAGTTAGCCATAGAGCTGCTGTTAAAAATGCAAAACAGAGGTTATCTTCAGCTGAAGGATAGACAAGATACATATGATGGACCCGAACATATGTCGTTCGATGACTATAACAAAGGATTATAACAAGGCGACGCCAGACGCAGAACCTTGGAGTAACGTGTACATTGTGAATCAGTTAACTCATATAATGAAGCTGAATCTGTTACTAAATAATCAGGACAACACTCACAGAATAGAAATATGAGAAAAAGTGAACTATAAACTGTCTTTGATTCTCACTACAGGGCATAAGAAATACCAAAAGGATAGTCCTATCGCAGGATCGTTGGTCTTCAGAATAATCGACTTAATGTAATCTCTTTATTGCATCGCTACTCTGTTGCTGTAGTAACTCAGTATCCAGGCAGGACAATGGATCTCTGTTATCTCATCCCTTTTTGTGGCTAGGACATGTTTGCCCAGAGTGTATAAAAAAACTCACCAACGGAACTAACAGTAGAGAAACATAATACCTTATTGGCAGCAACTGTATTAATCCACACCGGTATATACAGATCACTAAAAACAAGCTCAACCAAACACACGACTATGGGAGCCACGATTTGTTGCTAATACTCCTTTGTCTGTTAGCTGTGAGAAGTGAGTGAGCTTTCGGGGGGAAAGTGTACTGATCATAGCTTCCAAATTACTAAACATCGTGAGTAAAGACGTTAAAAAATCTATCTGTATTTATTTAGTGATTTGTAGAATTATGGTCTACTATGATATTAGTACTGCTCTAATAATAGACCTAATCCTATAACTGTAGATTTGTCATGATATAACCGCCTAATCTATAAGATCTTATGTGGAAGTCACATCATTGTCTACACCGACTCACTACATTGTAACAATTACTAATACATGATAGAGAACAATCTTAGGCTAGAGATAGAACCATATATTTTATATGAATAAAAGATATAAGGTAACATTCAGCAGGGACCACACCTGCAAGTCCGAGCCATGCCATACGATCGACTCCAATTAATTCAATTCCTTGTTCCCGCCTTCTATAGCGTTAGTTATTTCTCCGCGTTAAATATTGAATATCTATTTTTCTAGTAGTCTAGTGTTCAGCTTTGAGGAGTATATGGTTATGATCCAATGCCACTACAAATTCAATGTCATACAATAGACTAACAGAAAGTAGGGCAGCCTTCAGTAAAGAGCAGTGGTACAAATACTAATAAGTGCTTGAAATGGTTACCACTTTGGTGAGGCAGTGACACCTACATTAAGATGTAAACGTTGCGGAAGGTAATTCTTCTCTATTAAGAATAATTTTAAATTCAACACACGTTAATAAGGAAAATTTAATCATATCCCAGAGACCATTGGTCAAGTGATCTTTCTAAATTCGAATTAGACACGACAAATCGTGTTCCGCGAGAAATGCCGCTAGTACGTCAGCGAACACTAGAGAACCAACCAACAGGATGGTTCATGGAGTACATGAGCTAGTAGGTGTTAGTATGTGCAGGTGTAGCTCGAGGAGTGACCTCTCCATTTATGTGAAATGTCGTGAAAGCCGGTTAAGTGGTAAGCTAGGAGAAACCAGAACTATGTGCCTTCATTTTAATTTGAAAATAAAGGTCTTGGAAAATGAGATAATGCAGTCGACGGTAAAACTATCACACCTACTGTTTGATTATATGCTACTAAGCAGCTTGCCACGAATATTCAAAGTTCTAAACCAGCTGAATGTGTGGTAGCGCCGTGAAATGAAACAGGGACAAAAAACTCTCAAGCTTAGATGACAGACTGACGAATGATCAGTCTCTAGTTGAGGAAGATCATGTACTCACACCGATGGAGTGAAGTGACTGTAAATGGTGGTCGATAAACAAACCCACAAATGACAATTAGTCGCCCACCACAAGATTAACCCTCTTTAACCCTGTGTGATTTTGCTCTGTTTATTCATCAATGGCAAAGTTTGTGTTCATCGTAAAGAATATTTGGTTCGTCGGTTCGTTTTTTTCCATTCCCTAGTAAATGTTAGGTACGTTATTTATGTATCACATTTTCCCTGTTTAGTAGACTGCATAAATTGTTTATTTTGTATACTGACAGCATTAATTTGCGATTTAGAAACAGACAAAGCTTATCGAGACAAACAGCGTACTTGTTCTGATGTCGATTAGACCAAGACTGTACTCGAAAGTCTGGGGAATAGATTATAATAGCATCTGTGGGAAATAATTTCTTACAGTGACCATTGTGCATTCATGTTTTACGTGGTCAAAAACGAGATAATTCTGAGGGATGAGAATTTCATTCACATTATCTTCACTAGAGTAGCTTACGCAACGAGGAAAGATTACATCAAATACACTTCATGGCCATGAGATTGGTGGCGACAAACCGTGTTTGACCACTGGGAGATTGTGATGGTGGAATGCTAACCGACGCAACGTAACTCAGGATTAGTAAACCATCAAGTAAGCTCACACCCTTTCTCATTGACAGCTGACCTCATTTGTGATGATTTGCCAGCCAAAGTGATCATGCTGCGTGTTCATATCACGTCGGGCTCTCCAATGAAGATGGGACAGGTATTCAGTGTTTGACAACGCTTTTACCATTAACACCTAATATAACTCGTACCCACCAACAGAAATCAAAAGGCAGAATCAAGGAGGTCGAAAGAGTGTATTTGACGATCGGAATTGTCTGATCTAACCTGGTTAGCGATTGCGGTAGATGTTGAGCACAGCGTCCCCACACGTAATCTGGTGCGGAGGCATTATCGAGCGCCTTCAGCTATGTGAGTCCATTAAAACATTTGGTCAGCATCCAATGCCGAAAAATTACAGAGATATTTATTTTGGGGGATTATTTACCGCTACAAGGGTATAGCTTTAAGAGGATACTTGACAAACACGCGCTCAGCTATGGATTTCCATCTCCCTCTTGGAACAGTTGTGTGTGATGCATGACTTATGATTCATTACAGTTTAAATTACCGCAGGTCAGCAACTAATTCTTATCATTCTTGCTATCACCCTCGTCACACCTCTTGTTCCTTCAGTTCCACATTCTTATATGCTGACAATAAAGTAAATTATTATTCATTCTTGAAGAGTCGTCTTTCTCAACACTCGATTTATCATCTTACTATTTTCCACATTGCGACCAATGACCCGCCTGCTTGGTAATGCGATAAATTATGGAATCCAGTAACCTCACTGTCCTGAGACAAACTCACTAAGTCAGATTGCAAGATATACAAAGTCACAAATACCTGCAAGTGACTGGAATTAGTTCAGTGAAGTTGTTAGACTACCACCAACTAGACATAACAAGGTACATCGAATTTTACTCAACGAACAAGAAGAGAACTCAAAGGAGTCAATCGAATAATACAAATTCGCAATTAAGATATCGGATATTGGAAGCACTGGGTTTAGTTCGGAATATGAAGGTATGCGTTACATTCTGTTACTATGTAATTTTGCTCATCAAACTAGTTTATCTCCTTGAAAAAGGACATGTGTTCTTAATTTCATATGTAAAACAATATTAGGTGTAAGGAATTGTCTTCCATTAATTTTTATGGTGTAAATTTACTAATCAGTGCGATTAATCAAATGTTGATTGGAATCAGGTTGTACCAGTATATTCAGTGAGGTAACCGGGTAATTTCCTGGAATCACCATGTTTTTAAAAAAAATAAAGACCATCAGTAGTTTATTTTACTGAAATACCTGTGTTTCTGTGTGTACTGTGGTTAATCGTTCCAGATTTTGTTTCCGCCAGTTTTTATGTGAGATAAGCTACGGATACTTTTTTTGAGCGAGGTTTGTGTGACATTAAGACTGTTCAATTGCTCGTTAAGGTTAGTAAAGGGTTTACATTAGTGCGAGGAACTAAGGCTTAGACCTATTGCTGGAAGTTATCGCTAAGAATTAGAATTGGGATTATCATCACTAAGTGTCATGGGCTGTAATCACAAAATGTTGTTTAGCCATTAGGATAAATAAATTCTGCATCGAAATTCAAGACCTGATATCTTGAGTCTTATATGTCAGTCTGTGAATTATAGTTTCGCCAATTTTTGTTCTGTCGGTCATCTCATTAGCTAATAATTCTGTAACCTGCATTCTTCATTATAATTAGTCATAACCACATTAAATATGACTAAAATGTTATTATCTTTTTTGACGCTGTGAGAAGCACTTCTTTCTTGTAACTCATTATTCAACCCATTTTGGAGCTACTGTGTGGTTCTACAACAGATGTTTGTCAGTATTAAACTCTGAATAGAGTATAAGCTGTTTATCATCGTGTTTTTGAATGTCGTGCAGAATACGAAAGGTCACTGCCTTTGGTTCGTTTCGCTTGTTGGGAGCGTGTGATTTCATCATTTACTCTTTTCAGCTAACAATCAAAATACGTAGCAGTCTGGCTTGACACTATCTTAGCTGAGTGTTTCAGTGTTTATTACTGCGTTGGTCAGTATTCTGATTTATAGACCATTTCCTGAATCGATCATAAGAATTTGGCAGTTTGAGCGTTGTCTTTTGTCGTTCAAACCTCATTAAAGTCACTTTCCCTGGTAGATATCAGTCTATCATCCATGTTAAATTCTGTAATATTAGTGAGTACATGTTTTTATTTATTATTTGTTTTAATACATAGATATTAGTACAAGGAGGCACCAAATACATATGTGCCACACAGACCTCATATGATATGTGTGAAGGCTGTGATACTGCCCGGGTGCCCAAACCGGAGCATGTGGTTTTCTTAGGAGGCCACACCCCGAGCCTTCGACATGAAGGTCTGACCCACAGGGCAGTGGAGCATCGTGAGGAGATGCAGTCTCATGGAAGCTGGTGACCAGCAATTGGTTCCTACGCCACTTGTTCCTTCAGGATACTGGAGCCCATATACACCATTGGTTTGGAATCAGGGTTTTCTAACTCCCCTAGGTGGACTCTTCATGTCCACCAACACGGTTGAAGCGACGGTTATTCGCTTTTCATTCAAATATTTCCTTTTATGAATTTAAATAAAACAAGAACAAGTATTGATGCAGAATAGCATGAATCCAGAATATTTCAAGGTTTTTCGTCAGCTGCTTACAACCAAATATGTAATAGAATTTTACATTGAGATAAATAGTGTAAAACAATTGACATAAATGAATGTAAATGATTGGAATGACAAAGGTTTATAATAGTAACTAACTAACTAATATATATATATATATATATATATATATATATATATATATATATATATATATATATATATATATATATAGTTTTTTACTCGATAAATTCTGTATGTATTTTCCTGGATTAGTAGAAAATGCCACATGGTTTAATACGACATATAATATTTAAATCAATAACAATTTTCATTCGCGATGTTCAACCTAAAACCAGTCATTAATTCTTGAAGACATTAACTAAAACACTTGTAAAAGAACAAAACCTCTGCTCAATTCCATGAATCCCTCACTATCTCCAAAATTATCATATAATTTATAACCATTACACCACCCATCCCTAATTTTTTTCTTAATTCTAACATTAATTAACCTCTGACCTTTTCTTGCATATATATATATATATATATATATATATATATATATATATATATATATATATATAGTTACTATTATAAACCTTTGTCATTCCAATCATTTACATTCATTTATGTCAATTGTTTTACACTATTTCTTATCTCAATGTAAAATTCTATTACATATTTGGTTGTAAGCAGCTAACGAGAAACCTTGAAATATTCTGGATTCATACTATTCTGCATCAATACTTGTTCTTGCTTTATTTACATACGCTTTTCTTCCTCTCAATTTCATAAACAACAGTAATGCCGCGAGAAGGCAGTGAGTAGGACTGCCCTGGCAGCGGCTATATACGCGTGGCATGTGAGAGCATTTCGAGAGGGAGAGTGGACTCTCGTCCGAAGCAGGCCTTTTGAGGGAAGTCAGTACATGTTTACGATCATTGATTAACTTGTCATCTACTTAGAACTCAATGGTTAATCTGAATAATGGTATAAAAAGCCCTAGCCTTCTTGTTTCCGCCCTAAATAGCAGCACTACGTTTAAGGGCGACTGATCGTCATACACTGTACTACTTGAACACACTGTTGGTTATCTATTCTACTCCATAAATAATCTGAATTTACAAATGTCAAGGTAATAATTGTTGTATCATTCTATCACTTTCCATGTAGCAAACAAATCTGCACTTCATGTAGCATGTGTTCTAATTAATTGATGCTACAAAAAATCCATTCTGCTTTTAATTTCTATGTACATCTATGCTTATTTTTTAATTTTCATATCATATGTACTCATTTTAATCTTTTTTACTTGTCAAGGTAGAGAAAAGCAGCTTAGATTCCTCTCCTGAATTTCATGGTTCTGGATATTATAATATGGATAACAGGATAGACTCAGTTACTCCTTTACTTCATCGATTCCCATATTCTATTGTATGGACTCCTATTCCCTTGTTAACGTATGCTGTCATATGTGCTAACATCATTACTAATTGAAGATGGTTTTTTCCTGTTATTGGACATATGGGAATCGCTAATTCATATGGTGTTATATATGATTTTGCAGGCCCTTATACTATCGGGGTAAATTTTAGTTCCCTGTTGTAATAACTTTAACACTTCTCTATAGGAGGACCAAATGGCTTTTGGATGGCCAACGATGTATGTTTCACGACAATACAGACTGATCTTCAATTTCCTTAGGTATTACCAACCCCATGCTAAACTGATTGGGAGTCGGGAAGTCTGGGACAATGCAATCTCTGAAGCAAATGAAGTTTATAAAGGACGAGTGGTATGTTGTTATGATTTTTCTGAAAATGTCTAGCTATAGTGTATCGTATTAAGTTACTATGCTATAGCTTATTGGTATAAGCACACGATTTTCAGCAGTGGAGTCTCAAGTTTTGGTGTCAGTTTATCTTTTGAAAGGTATCTCTGGCTTTCACACAAACGCCTGACGTAAAAGAACGTGTTCTGAGTTGTCGAGTTGTGTAAAAATTTACTTTTATACATCTGACCTGTTGCTTTATGAGGTTGAAGCGCTCAGATACGGTTAGGAGGTCTTAAATAACTCAGATTTTATCTTCTTGTAATGAGTTATGTTTCTCATGGCTTAAGTGTGTGAGTATATATTTGTTTAATTGAATGCATAAATATTGGTACAAGGGGCTACGAACACATATGCACCACACAAGTATTATCGAGGAATTCACTCAAAGACTTAATATGATGACAAATGTGGGATTAAATGACGTCCTGAACAACAACAATCATTATTTATTTGAACACATCGGTACATATGCGCCACACAAGTCACTTGATACGTATGTGGGCTGTGATACTGACCCGGTGTTCAAACCGAAGCAGGTGGTTTTCTTAGGGAGCCACACCCAGAGCCTTCAACCTAAAGCTCTGATCCACAAGACGGTGGGAAGACGTCAGGAGATGCAATCCCATGGTAGTCGGTGACCAACAATTAGTTCATACGTCATTTGTTCCCTGAGGATTCTGGAGACAGCCCATGTGCACTATTGGTTTGGAATCAAGGTTTTCCAAGTCCTGTAGGTGGACTCTCCCTGTCCACTGACCCTGTTGAAGCTCCGGACATTCACTTTTCGCCCTCTCAATTTCGTAAACAACGGTAATATCGCGAGAAGGTAGTGAGTAGGACTTCCCTGACAGTGGCTGTATACGCGTGGCCATGTGAGGGCATTTTGAGAGCGCGAGCGAACTCACCCCACCCTCGACCTTATCAGGGCACTCGTGGGCTAAAGTTAGTTCCTTGGCTGGGAATCGAAACCGAGCCTTCCATATGTGAATATAGCATAACACTTACTTCGAAATTATGCAAAAGGATTTAAATCTGTCTCTTTTTTGCATGGGGTTAGGCGATGTTTAATTTTTTCAATGAAGAATATTAAGGATACTTTTGTCGCTTATTATAAAATACTCATTCGTACCTCTACGTGTGATATGGATTATTTTGCCTAAAATACTGTCAGGAGTCAAATACATAAACCTTTACCTTGAGTAATGAGTTACAGCAACTTTAATCGTATGTGAATACACAGAAAACCAGATATTTTGTATCCTGGTTTTCACATAGTGTATTCATATATTTTTCTAAAAATCAGTAGATTATTCTCATTATGATCTAATCTTTCTAGTGTCGTATAAGAAAAACTCTTATAAATCATAGTTTAGTAAAGCCTTCAATATCAAATGTTTTCCTTACGAAATTCATTATTCTTATTTCCTTTAGCATAACCTTTTTTGTGATAATTGCCATAGTCATGTGGCATATGCTTTCAACAAAATGCGATTTCAAGATAAGGAGAATTGGAATATGTTCAGTGTTTCTGTATTATTATTCTTTCACGGAAAGTATGTTAGGTAAGCTTTTTTTCTCAGCATAAGAAAAAAGTATTTTCATTTACTTTATAATTGGTTTACATGATTGACTCATAAAATATATGGATCACTTAAGTTTTATTCCTGATTCCTATTCAGTCCCTCATAAATTGAAAATATTAATATTTTAACTTATAATTTTGTATATTTTCTGTGCAAATATGGCAATTAACTGCTTCAATTCAACATATTAGGGCGTTATTCACAATTTCATACCTACGTTAGTCGATTACGTAGACTAATTCAGAGTATTTTATTAATTTGAAGTGTTGCAATTTATTTGGAAGATTTTTTAAAGAAATTTCCATCTAGAAATATATAAGATAATATTATGTTTTTGGCGGGTAAGCTTTGGAAGATGCGAAAACCTTTACATATCTGGCCAGCATTATTGATGAACACGGCGGATCTAATGCAAATGTGAAGGTGCGGATTGGCAAATCAAGAGCAGTATATCTACAATTGAAGGACACCTGGAACTCAAAACAACTGCCAACCAACACCAAGGTCAGAATTTTCAATACAAATGTCAAAACAGTCCTACTGTATGGGGCGAAAACCCGGAGAACTACGAAAGCGATCATCCAGAAAATACAGGTGTTTATTAGCAGTTGTCTACATTAAATACTTCGGATCCGTTGTTCAGACACTATCAGCAACAACTTACTGTGGGGGAGAACAAACCAGATTCCAGCAGAAGAAGAAATCAAGAAGAAGCACTGGAAGTGGATAAGACACGATTGATCAGTCTCATGTTGGCATATGTGCATCCTGTGCGGATTGCCTCGATATAGCCCTTAAGTCACAAACTTTTTAAGCAAAGATGGATAGTGGCTAGCAGTGGAATCCAGTTTGACGCGCGTTTCGTCCTATTTGAGATTCGTTGTCTTTGCTTAAGAAGCTTGTGAATTAAGGTTATATCGAGGCAATCCGTACAGGATACACATATGCTAACATGAGACTGATCAATCGCAGTCCTAAATAACAATGGGAAGATACAAGTAAAACAACATCGATTGAACTTAAGCTTCGCCCCATCGCACAAGCAGGTGGTTATCAGGACTCAGTAGCTAAGTGGATAACGCAATGGCGTTTGAAGTGCATAGTACTGTGTTCGAGTCCCAGAGTGAAAGTCAGTTCTGAGACGCAAGTATATTCAGCTGACAAGTCCCCAATATGACGAAACGCGCATCCTTTATTCCACTGTTAGTCACAATCCATCTTTGCTTGAAAAATATTTTTGTTTAGCTTAAAACAATTTTTGACCTTCATAGTTGAAGCACTGAATATTCACCTGTAGATTTATAGTTCTGAATCTAGCACAACTTATATTAATTAAAGAAACTGCGTAGTTGTGTCATTAAAATTCTTACAGTAAAATATGTAAACGTTTACTTGATTGCGGAGTTTAATTAGTTAAATTTTAACAGATAAAACAGTGATCAGTATGAAAATTAGAGTAGTTCTTACTTAGATGAGAAAAGAACTGTTGATATACTAGTTATTATCAACTTGTCAGTCAGTCAGTCAACTACAACGTAAGACCAGGCACGTATATGCATCGGTCCAAGTGGTTATACCTCATTAGCACAACAAGATGAACACTAGATTCATAGAAGTAGTTAATTCAGTGGTGGTAATATGTAAAAGAAAGATTGCACATAAGGATATAGCACAGAAAGAAAGAATTAGTGCGCATCCACGGTCCCGCTCGCGGGATTCGAATCCAGGGCCCTCGGTCTCGCACGCGAACGCCCTGGATTCGAATCCCGCGAGCGGGATCGTGGATGCGCACTGCTGAGGAGTCCCACAATAGGACGAAACGGCCGTCCAGTGATTCCAGGTTTTCAATCATGATGGTCTAACATCAATCGGTTCATGATCTCAATCAAAAACGTAATAATCTCCACAACACCTATACTAGAAAGAATTAGTTCACAGAAAGATATGAAGCGATTTTAATCTCATAGTTTAATGGAAAGTAGAGAGTGTATACATCTACGACACTGTGATCCATGTCACAGTCTCCAACCATTGGTTACGATAGTCACGCGGACCCCAACCAAGTAATCTGCATCTACAAATATTGCTCAGACCAGAATTTAGTGACTTCTAGCACTGATGACACGTTTTGGTTTGACCGCCCCTGACTTTCTTCCAACCGTCTCCAACACTGGTCAGCATTGCGCATCGTGTTCAGGCATACGTACCACGTGGTTCAACCATCTCAGTCGGTGAAAATTTACAACCTCATTGACTGATTTACTGTTATTCCCTAATACTCTACGTCTAACCTCATTATCACTTACCCGGTGATCCCTGTTTGCAAAGAAAAAAGTATTAAAATGCTTGATCTACCAAATGATTTTTTCTTTCTTTTATTCATTAAACAGTTATGATAAAACTTCTCCGTTTTTTTCCTTATAGTAAACGTCACTGTTTTTCATCATGGTTTCCATTCATTCTTGTTGTATGTGTAATTTTGGCAATAATATCAATTGTTTTGCATATCAGTTGAATCATTTATAACTATCATATACAAACCAATCAGACTGTACTTGACTGATCTAATCCAACTTTTTTTAGTTTAATCATTTTTATTGTAAAATATATTATATATGTTTTCTAATGTAATGGATCATCGCATTAACCTTTTTAGGTGATTTTAGAAGTCCTTCATATATAATTAATATCATGATTACGGATATGTTTACTCGTTGAAATTATTTCTTTCCACCTTTTTTTTAATAAGACAGTTATTATTTTATTCATGCCAACTATTTTAACAAAAAAAATTTTCTTTTATATATATGACTGGAATTCTCTTTAAAAGGATATGTTTTATGATATTGGTATGAAAATAGTAATAATGATCATCATGCTTTTATTTTTAATTACTTCTAAACGTGTTAGGGGTTGTGAAATTGATTTGTGTTAGATGATAAATCAACTTGTTATTGTTTGCATGAAGAACTTTGGTACTGGTGTTTGCTTCCAAATGCCTCGGTACGGTCGTAGGTGCGAAGAGTCAACTCTCAAAAAAATCTGGCTCCATTGAGAGGACGAAAAGCGAATGTCCGGAGCTTCAACAGGGTCAGTGGACAGGGAGAGTCCACCTACAGGACTTGGAAAACCCTGATTCCAAACCAATAGTGCGCATGGGCTGTCTCCAGAATCCTCAGGGAACAAATGACGTATGAACCAATTGTTGGTCACCGACTACCATGAGATTGCATCTCCTGACGTTGTTCCACTGTCTTATGGGTCAGACCTTTAGGTTGAAGGCTCTGGGTGTGGCTCCCTAAAAAAACCACCTGCTTCGGTTTGGGCACCGGGGCAGTATTAAAGCCCACATACGTATCAAGTGACTTGTGTGGCGCATATGTACCGATGTGTTCAAATAAATAATGATTGTTGTTGTTGTTCAGGACGTCATTTAATCCCACATTTGTCATCATATTAAGTTTTTGAATGAATTCTTCGATATTACCTGTAAAGAAAAAATGATTATCTTAGCTAGCTGGCGAGTTTCATACAACAAAATACGTGGCATAGATTTCTCTTCTGCCAACTATTAAAAAATATGACCTCAAGTATACTGTTTGTATCGACTGATCGGAACCAATAATTGCATTTGGACTTCGATAACCATTACAGATGTATTGATACAATAATAATGTTAGGATTGCATTCGGATAACTAGTAATTCAAGCAATCAACCACGTAGCAGTTCCGTTTACAGAATCAGTACTTCCAGTCACATTTCTATGATATACTTAAAAGATCTAAGTTATTCAGAAAAACGACTGATGACATTGTGATGAATCAATCGTGGTGTAGTTATGTAATATGAATACTTATCGGGGGATAAGTCTACTTCCGATTGCGTCCAAGCTATTGGCTTCCGTCATACTTCGTAGGTTGTTCAAAACCCGAGAAAGATTGACTCGCGAGGAGCAGGCTGAGTTTCGTTCTGGTCGAGGTTGTATTGATCATATCTTCACCCTCCGCCAAATGTTAGAACATCGCCATACTTATCAAAGGCCAACAATCGTAGTGTTTCTTGACATCAGGGCTGCCTTCGATTCGTTGGACAGGACTGTTCTCTGGGATTGTCTATTGAAGAAGGGTGTGCCTGAGAAGTTTATTAACATCCTAAAAGCCCTATATAAAAACACCTCAGGCAGAGTGAGGGCATACAACCACCTCTCTCCATTGTTCTATACGAGTAGTGAGGTTAGGCAGGGTTGCCCAATCTCACCATTCCTCTTCAACTTTGCCATCGATGACATTCTGGAAACAGCTCTGATGAATGTAAGTAATGGTGGTGTGGATCTGTTGCCTGGAGAAAGACTTCTCGACCTTGAGTATGCGGACGATATTGTCTTACTGTGCGATAATGCCCAAGGCATGCAATCCGCACTTAATCAGTTGGCAATCAGTGTCCGTAGGTATGGTATGTGTTTTGCACCTTCGAAGTGCAAAGTACTTCTACAAGACTGGCAGGATTCCAATCCTGTACTCACCCTGGATGGTGAGCAGATAGAAGTAGTCGAGAAGTTCGTGTATCTGGGTAGCTGCATAAGTGCTGGTGGGGGTGTGAGTGATGAGATCAATGCACGTATAGTGAAAGCCAGAGCGGCTTATGCCAATCTGGGCCACCTTTGGCGCCTTCGTGATGTTAGTCTGGCTGTAAAAGGTCGGATCTACAACGCGTCGGTGAGAGCAGTTTTGCTCTATGCTTGTGAAACCTGGCCTCTCCGAGTTGAGGACGTTAGACGACTCTCTGTGTTCGATCATCGCTGTCTCCGAAGGATTGCTGACATTCAGTGGCAACACCATGTTAGTAATGCAGAGGTTCGGCATCGTGTGTTTGGGTACAGAGATGATAATTCAATTGGTGTCACCATCTTGAAACACCGACTTCGGTGGCTTGGACATGTTCTACGAATGTCGTCCCAGAGAATTCCACGTCGTGCATTGTTTGCCGACTCTGGGACTGGTTGGAAAAAGCGGAGAGGTGGTCAGTGCATGACATGGTGTCGTGGTATGAAAGAAAGCTGCAAAGGACTGGCTTCTGTCGGTCCTTCACGACTCCCTGGTTGGGGTCTGAGAGATGGTGCTACACAGTGGCTAGAGACGTTATCAGATATGGCTCAGAATAGAAGCCAGTGGCGATCCTGCTGTAACCTTCTTTTACTTTCTTCATAAAAAGTGGTTGTGTCTCCCTTACTTGAAAGATTTCTTCCGATTGTACCTTTCCGTTCCATCGTTACGACCGCACTACCTTTCACCAATCTCTTTGTTATCGTTCTCTTTTTCTTTTGTGCTCCTTAGTTTTTTTTTCTTTTCTCTCTTCGAATTTTCATTGTTTTGTGTGGCGCATATATATTGGCGCTCTCTTGTACCAATATTTATGTGCTCAAATAAATAAATAAATAAATATGAAGTATAGGTTTGTATAGGATTGGCTTGTAAATTCATCACAGCATGTATTATCTATTCAGTTAGTTGCTAGTTTTGATGGAACTCAGCAACTAAGTTCAGGTTTAAGTAGTTTATCACCAATTAAACTAGAATGCCTTGTTTTCTGCCCGCATTGAAAATTTATAAATTATGGAGATAGTTGACGTGTAATGTTCATACACCTGATTTTTTTTGTTATTGTTTACTGAATCATGTAACTTATTTAATATATTTTGCTCGTCAGTGGTATTGTAGTGAACGAGAACACGGGTAGGGACAAACGGATGTATTTAGCACAACAATTACAGTCTATCTCAACAAAATCTGAATACCATATATTAAATCGTCAATTTGCAAAATATTCACACATCAAACCAAACTGAATTGTTTCTGTTGCAAACACCAATCCATTGTCTCTCATTCCATTGTTCATAGGTTTTCTTACAAATTCCATTATGTTCTCGCTCCACCTTTCTTGGTCTTCGCCATCTTTTGCTGCCGAGCATTACGCTCTTTTAACGCACGTTATATACTACTTATATCAATATAAGTAGCTAACACCACAGTATCTGTGTTCCAAAGAGATCATTATTTCAGGCTTAGTGAAGTTATTCATAAATGAGATACCATATATATAACAGTTAAATTACTAGGAACAGTAAATTCAGTATGTACAATGATATCACTCATGCGGTTTGTACAGTCGATCCTCTTGATGGTTTACTAAGACAAATGCTATTGGAACTAATAGAAATACCAGTATCCTAGTTCTTTCTGCATAATAAAAAATGATTTAAATGTCTGTGCGCTATGTTCAGTGAAATCGTTTGATTTATAACTAATTAGTTAAAAATCGAGTTTTCATACTGTCACAGCTTTACTGAGTTTTTTTTAAAGATTTTAATGAGCCTTGTGCTTCTGTCTCAGATTCTGGATGATTAAAAAAATAACTTTTGGTATACCATTTTGATGAAAAATAAATTACCTTTTTTGTTTAGTTGAATAAAGAAAATCCTCACATATGTAGTTGAAAATGTAGTGAACTTTTTAAGTATCGATTTAAATAGCTCTGAAAACAATAGGATATAGAACAGTTCAATATCGGTTCAGATTACTATAGTCACATGAGAAATTGAAATCGATGAAAGCGAAGTAATCCTATTTACTGTTGTTTCTATATAACAGAACTCAAAATAATGGTTTATCAGATAGCAAAAGAGGATCTGTTTGACTTGAAGCTGTAAAAATCAGATGTGCTTTTGATTACTGGTGTTCATTTTTTTCGAGAACCAAACGGTTTCGAATATGGATATAAAGGGTACGAAATTTCCTGTGATTGTATTATCAGCTAGTTGTTAGAATCAGTAGTATCAATATTTCGAACTGAGGCAATGTCATATTTGGACATGGATCTTTTCGTTGATATAAAAAGTTTGGGAAATTGTTAAGAATGTAATTATGTCCCGATAAGCATAATGAATGGTAACTTGTGGGATCCATTTATGAACCAATACTATACGTATGTTTTTTATCGTATAATTAATAAATGACTAAACTATAAATATTCATGTCCCTCTTATTATGAGCTTTATTTTGACTTATGAACTATTACTATACGATTTACCATTCTTGAATTACGCATTGTCTATTCATTAATATCTCCCATATTCACAGCCAATTTTGGCTAGATCTTGTACAAATGCTTGATATTTTATGGCATGGTGTGGTCTGTCTGGTTAGCATATAAACCCAGTATGCTTGAAAGAAATTATTCATATTGCAGAGGCTGAGATTATTGTTATGAACTTAACTGGCTGGGCTAGGTAGGAAGCACGACCAATACAGGCTCTAGACTGCTTGTACGGGTTTTATGCGTCATCGGTCCTATCGATAATTCACTGCTCTCTAATTGGCGGTATTATTACGTTATAAATTAGCAGGGCACTCAGACCAGAACTTATGACAGTAATATAAACTATTGTATAACAAAATCTATTAATATCTAATCAAGTTTTAGCATCCACGATCCCGCGAGACTGATAGGTCCTGGGTTCGAATCTCGCAGGGGGCGGGATCGTGGATGCGCACTACTGAGGAGTCCCATACCAGAACGAAACGGCCGTCCAATGCTCCCAGGTTTTCCATGGTGGTCCAGCTTCAATTGACTCATGATTTCAACTATTGAAATTACTAAAATCCCCACGAAACCCTTATTGATAAAAATCACTATGTTTCATCATCGAGTTAACGTAAGTAAACAACTAGGAGAGTAACATTCATGAATTACAAAAATTTACAAAATGTAGATCCTGGTTAGATAATGATTGTTAAATATGTATCGTTCGATAAACAAATAAATGGCAGATCACCCTTTCTCTTTCTCCTAATGATCGACTGAATCATGAGGACGTTAAAATCTGGGGGAAGCATGTGATATAGTGGACAGATAGGTTGCAGCTGGACGATCTATACTTCGCAGATGATTCAGCTCTTCTATCGCACATGCAACAACAAATTCAGGGGAAGATGACTAGTGTAACAGCAGCTTCAGAAGTAGTAGGTCTCAACATACACAAAGGGAAAAGCAAGATCCTCCGATACAACACAGCATACAGCAATCGAATCCTACTTGACGGAGAATCTTTTGAAGATGTAAAAGCCTTTACTCTCCTAAAGTTTGAAGCTCGAGAGTTATCGAATATACAAACTGATATCAAATCAGGCAGTTCTAGGTTTGCACCACCCAGTTTTTCAACCATACATGAAGAAACAATGAATTTTATTAAAAATACAAATGATGCATTTGTGTATGAATCAAAACCACTATCTATCTCATCCAAAGGAAACTGCGACTGAATAATCGTTCTCCGTGTTTCCACAACATATGTGTAAGAAGAGTATAGATTTTGTTCAGTTGGATTCAGAAAATGTAATTTTCGACAAAGCAAAAAGAACCAGCCTCCATATTCAATAAATAGCGTTGGATCTGAAAATCCCGGACAATATCAAATATCTCACAAAATTAATATGAAGACTGATTTATCAAAAAAAAAATTAATCAAACCTTTTGATTAGGGATAACCTTGAAACTGCAGTTTCGATCACGCATAAGGAAGTTATAAAAACCCCCACTATTCTCATATGAAACCATGTTCTGAATTCATTAAAGTGAAAGAATCAATTTCATTCTATCCAGAACTAAGTGGAAATGTATTTTCATTAACTTAAATCGGCAAAAAGCCTAACAGTTCCAACTTAATGTGCGAACGAATAAAACTGATAAAAATCCATTGAACGGAGAGAACAAACAGTGAATTTCGATACAGATATGAAAACAAATTAATTGACGAGAATGAGGAAAATGAAGTTTTGAGAACTCGTACTGATAGTAAAGCAACAAGTGTTCTACCAACTGAAAATACCAAACAAAACATTGTGACCACCATGTGGCATGGTTCTTGGAAGCAGATGGGAAAATCACATGTCACGTCTCAGCTAGAAACAGTGTTAAACCATGACGAAATATCACTAATTGCTTCTTTCCAGTTTTCTTATCGAAAGAGACTAACTGAATGTGTTCATTTATATGAGAGTACTAAACACGAAACACCAGATGATTCTTTCTTTATCAACCCAATTACAAAACAACATTTACATTGTCTTGTAATAATTGACAATAAATCTGCAAATCATCACGCTTCATCATTTGAATTCGCTGCTCAAGAGAGCGTAAAGTATCTAAATGTAATTAGTGGCGCTTTTATAAAATATTTACAGTCAGATATCAGTTCTAGTAACTTTGGTGAAAATAAATATCGGAATTGTGTAGGACCGCTTTCGTTTGTTCGTTCAAGTTTAACAAGTTCGTCAAGTGACCTCTTACAGTGTGAAGTAGTTGACACTTGTGACGTAATTTGTTGGAGTTTCGAACCATTTTCTCAGGAATGTATCTCCTGTGTTACCTGAAAATTTATGTTGTTCATCTAGTATTGATACTCAGGATGTTGTGAGGATGATACAGGTATTCAGTGTTTGACAACGCTTCTATCAGTAACACCTTCTAATATGCTTTGTTCCCACCGAGAGAAATCAAAAGACAGAGTCGAGGAGATCGGAAGAGTGTATTTGGCGATAACCAATATATCGGGAATCTCTGATCTAATCTGGCTAGTGATTGCGGTTGATGTTGAGCACAGCGTTACCACACGTGATCTGGTGCGGATGCATAACTGAGCGCCTTCAGCTAGATGAGTCCACTAAAACATATGGTCAGCATCCAATGTCGAAAACCTACAGAGCTATTTAGTTTGGGGATTTATTTACCGCTACAGTTGCTACTTCATCCATACAGAACACATCCCCTGAGAAATAGGGGGACGAATATTTTAGGGTTTGTTGCTTTTGTGACTGCTTTTGTATGTCTATCTCTTCCTCTTTACATCCCATAGAAATGAATGAGTTTTTGTCTCGTATTGATTGTTGGTCTGTTGGTAATGGTCTCATACTTAATCAGTCTGAACGTCAAGCTGTTAACTTTAGCATGAGACATGAACGGAATCTAAACACCATTTTAAAATCCCTTAATGCTTGCACCATCGGAGACTATTTGATAAACACAGTGTCAAAAGTCAATTATCTTTGTGTCACCTTTTCCTCTGATCTGTCTCGAACTTCCCACATTTTATTGTTATCAAAGAAGGTTTGTAACAGCATAGGTTGGTTGGCTAGGAGTTGACCCCAAACAACCAAGCATATGCCAAAACAGTATTGTTCAAGTATTCATTCACTTCCTTATTTTGTATAATCGTTATATTCCTTATTATCTTATATTGAATGTTGAAAGCCTTTGTTTGTCTGAACATATAATCCCACGCTCCACTGTGACTGCGCTAAGATCGAAATAAAGACGTACTCAATTATTGTCTGATTTCTTCTATCAATAACACGAGGGTTACCTATAGGCACGAAATTGGTGAGCCCTTTTTGAACACACATTAACCTCATTTTTGTTATTAATATTATTTTCTTTTTACTCAATCGTAAAAGTAGACCTGATAATCCGTAAACTAAGTTGGGTATATAAATAGTTTATTCTTTTTATTATCTTAAGTTATTCGTGTCATAGAAACCATTTTTTTTTTCTCGTGCTAATTTTATTGCTATATTTGTCACATACCTCATGTCAGACTTAAAAGAAACCCATAATCTGGAGGATTTGTCACCAGTGGAGATAGACACTGTTATGACTACGAAATCTCGACTTCCAGAATTTGATCGTAGTGATCCTGAGTTGTGGTTTGCTCAACTCGAGCATTATTTCACGAGACACAATATCAAATCTGAAGGGATTCGCTATAGAGATTTGTGTTCTATCCTTCCTCCTTCAGTCGCCAAAGAAGTCCGTGACTTGATTTTAGATCCACCATCACCACAACCGTACACCGTCTTAAGACGAGAGATAATGAACCGTTTATCATTATCAGATAGTCAAAGAATCCAAAGACTTTTTCAAGGTGAAACACTAGGTGATCGGTCGCCGTCACAGTTTCTACGTCACCTGCAAGTCTTAGTGGGTGATAACACAGTGGGTGAAGCAGTCCTAAAACAAGGATGGATACAAGCTCTCCCATGCTACGTCCAACACTGTTTGGATGCACAAGATCCTGAAACCTCATTATCTCATTTAGCGCGTATAGCTGATAGAATAATGGAAAGAGGTCCTCCAACTGGATCAGGCACAATAAATCACACACAGAAAGTAGAATCAGCAAAAGACCCCGTCATAGAAGGACTCATTGCGAGTGTTAAGAGTCTCACTGAGGCTGTCACCAGAATGCAAATGGGTCATACAAACAGGAGCAGGTCACCACAACGATCACGATCCAAGTCACAAAATAGGTCACAAATGTCCAGACAATCTGGGCAGTTTTGTTGGTACCACTGGAAGTTTGGTGTCAACTCAACCAAGTGCAGGCAACCATGCGCCTGGCCTAAGCATAATTCCAAGACAGCGGGAAACGAGTAACCCCTCCCCAGGTCGCGACAACTGAGGAGGGGCGCCTAAACAGTCGCTTGTTTTATGTCAGAGACAGAAACTCGGGCTTGAATTTCTTGGTGGATACTGGCGCTGCTCTTAGCATTATCCCTCGAAATAAAACTGAGATTAGTCGAGAAACATCCCCGATTACACTTCAAGCTGCAAATAAAACTACAATCGCGACATTTGGGCAGAAAACGTTAACCCTAGATTTGGGGTTCAGAAGGCAATTCCCTTGGGTTTTCACGGTAGCCGACTTAGATCTGGCAATACTGGGGATGGACTTTCTAGAGAGATACGAATTTCTTGTTGACACCAAGAAACGGCGATTAACACTAAAAGAAACTTCGTTTTACACAAAAGGCAAAGAAAGTCACATCAGCTCTCTTAACTTGATTCAAACCCCTCCAATAACAACAGCGAAATTCCAAGATATACTCGCGGAATTTCCAAACTTAACCAAACCAAACCCACAGCCTTCCAAAGACAAACTAAAAGTAAGTCACACTATCAAAACCGAAGGTGCACCGGTGTTTGCAAAACCCAGGAGACTAGCACCAGATAAGCTCAAAATCGCTAGAGCCGAGTTTGATTATTTGCTACAACTGGGTATTATCCGTCTGTCTGATAGTCAATGGGCATACTCTTTGCATATGGTCCCAAAGAAGAATGAAGGTGACCGGCGACCGTGCGGAGATTACAGAGCCCTCAACCGTCAAACAGTACCAGATAGGTACCCAATACCGCATATCCAAGATTTCACAAACGGTTTACAGGGTATGAACATATTCACTAAAATTGACTTAGTCAGGGCATATCACAATATCCCGGTGGCTGATGAAGATATCCCTAAGACAGCTATTACAACACCCTTTGGCTTATTCGAGTTTGTACGCATGCCATTCGGCCTGAGAAATGCGGCACAGACATTTCAAAGATTCATAGATAACCTACTTCGAGATATGCCATTTGCGCAGGGGTATATAGACGACTTGTTAATTGCCAGCCCCGATTTGCAATCACACGAAGAGCATGTACGAGCAGTGTTGACAAGATTGAATGAACATGGAATAAACATACATCAAAGTAAGTGTGTTTTCGGTGTTCAAACTTTAGAATTTCTTGGTCACACAATAAGCCCAGAAGGGATTAAACCTATAAAAAAAGAAGTGGATACCATCAAACAATACCCGATACCTAGCTCTCTAACACAAATGAGAAGTTTTCTAGGTCTAATTAACTTTTATCGCAGATTCATACCAGGTTGTGCACAATTAATGCAACCTTTAACAGATTTACTTAAAGGAAAACCAAAAGAATTCAAACTGTCTTCTGACGCCGTCGAAGCTATTAAACAGCTTAAAGATAAACTGGCTCAAGCAACTACGTTGATATATCCGAATTCTCTTTCCCCACTTGCCTTGATGGTGGATGCTTCAGATAAAGCAGTAGGCGGTACCCTTAACCAACTGGTTAAAAACGCCTGGAAACCAATTGCTTTCTTCTCGAAAAGACTCGCTCCAGCTGAGACAAGGTATTCTACCTTCGGGCGAGAACTTCTTGCGATCTACCTGACTATTAAACACTTCCGACACATGTTAGAAGGTAGGGAATTTATAGTCTTTACGGATCACAAACCACTAACGAATGCATTAAAAGCGAGAGCCGATAAGTACTCACCTCGAGAAGTCCGACACCTTGACTATATATCACAGTTCACAAGCGATATCCGACATGTCAAAGGTCAGGACAATCAGGCGGCAGATGCTTTATCCAGACTAGAAATGAACGTGGTACAGCAGTCTACAGTAAACTTCGAGACGTTGAGACACGAACAAGAGCAGGACCTAGAATTACAAAACCTACCCAAAACAAACAATTCAAGTCTTAATTTAAAACAGTTCCCATCACCTATCGATGGTATTCTAATTTACTGTGACACGACCAAGGCAATGCCGCGACCTTTCGTTCCCAAAAATATGCGAAAGTTGATATATAATAACTTTCATTCTTTGTCTCATCCTGGAGCAAAAGCTTCAACTAAACTAATCAATGCCAGATATATATGGCCGAATTTACAGAAGGATGTACACAAATGGGTTAGAGAGTGTTCAGCATGCCAACAATCAAAGATTAATCGTCACACAAATTCACCCATAGGTGTTTTCTCGCAACCAGATGCACGTTTTGCACATGTGCATATCGACTTGGTAGGTCCTTTACCCCGTTCAAATGGTTTTAATTATCTTTTTACATGCATAGATCGATTTACCAGATTCCCTATAGCCATCCCGATAGCGGACATCACAGCGAAAACAGTAGCCAAAGCTTTCATGCAGAACTGGGTAACCATTTTTGGTACACCCATAACAATAACGACGGATAGAGGAGTGCAATTCGAATCCGAACTATTTAATAACTTGGCTAAACTTCTAGGCTCTAATAGGATACGCTGCACTGCATATCATCCTCAGGCTAATGGGATGGTAGAACGTTTTCACCGTCAGCTAAAAACCGCCCTTATATATCACTCAAACCCCAATCAGTGGACAGAATTCCTACCATTAGTTATGTTGGGAATACGAACATCTGTCAAAACTGACGCACAATGTTCAGCTGCGGAACTGGTTTTCGGAACAACTCTGAGACTACCAGGTGAATTCATTAACCCTAATACTAACAGTCAAAAACTTAATTTAGAAAATTACGTGGATCAACTACGGGACCATATGTCCAAACTTAAACCAATTAATACTCGCGAACAATCGCGCGCCGTATATGTACCTAAAGACCTAAGCAATTGCACGCACGTCTGGATAAGATGTGATAAAATAAAATCACCACTCAGTCCTCCATTTGAAGGTCCTTTCAAAGTCGTCTCAAGAAAATCTAAATATTTCGTGGTAGAAAAACACGGAAACATCGACACAATAAGTATTGATAGGCTAAAGCCGGCTTATCTAGATCATGAACCACCATACGTATTGTTAGATCGTTTAACTGACAAATCCATTACGGAATCGAAATGTAAAGATGATAAATCTTTACAAATGACTGAAACGGTTCGCTGGGCACATCCAATTAGTCAGTCAAGGATGTTGACAGTTTCGGCTGCAGGATAAAACCTAACCACGTAGCTAATCAGACCCTGCATCTACTCAAAAATATTTTTCCCCTCATTCCGCCTCACCTACAACTCCCCAGACCTTTTACCTTTGATATATAAGTGTTATGTTAAATATTTTTTTTAAATACTGGACACATAAGCTAGGTATTCCGAATCGATGGCTGAGGATTTTAATCAAACTCATACAACTAACACTGGCAAATACAACGAATTCAACAAGCAACTCAGTAAAATTATGCGCTCTTGGTTACGTACCTGGTTATAAAAGGCGGTTGTCACAATCCCAAGGTCACACATTTGAACGGGTTTGACAATGAGTCCAACTAGCAAGTTTACACTTTTACATATATACATTATAAAAAGATTTTTTTTTGTTTCATACAAGATGGCTACACTATGTCTATTTTCTTCCAGAATACCAATCCGTTCTGGAGGCCAATCATTTACGTGGAACCGAACAATTATCAATTATATTTATGTATTTCCATTTTGTATCTTATTATTTTGATGCAGGCAGTGGAGCAGTTCTTTAGGTTTGATTGGTTTTCACCATTACCTTTGAAGTAGATTCTTCTTTACTTTTTACTTGAGGGCGACTCAAGAGGCAGGTGAGTAAACACCTGATAGCCGGTCTGAGCATGGAAAAATCGTACCTCACCAACATGGTGTTGGGTAGCCCGCTCGCGGCACTTCCTCAGATATTTTTATTCCACAGTCTAACACTCTTTCTCATGAAAGCACGCAGCAAACCGTCAGCAATAGTTGTAGAAGAAATCACATGCTACAAAATAAGATGACGAGCTAGTAAATGAAGAGACATCCATGGACTACCGTTGACAGCGTTAGTTGCCACTGATTGTAAGTCAAACATTGAGTGAGTTGATAATTTTCCCTTGGGATGAGAAATAGAACTAAGGTGTTTTTGATAGATAGGTTAATCGAACCGACGTTCCTACGGAAGTCGATTCTAGGGGGAAGCTAATGTAACAGCATAGGTTGGTTGGTTAAGAGTTGACCCCAAACAACCAAGCATATGCCAAAACAGTATTGTTCAAGTATTCATTCACTTCCTTATTTTGTATAATCGTTATATTCCTTATTATCTTATATTGAATGTTGAAAGCCTTTGTTTGTCTGAACATATAATCCCACGCTCCACTGTGACTGCGCTAAGATCGAAATAAAGACGTACTCAATTATTGTCTGATTTCTTCTATCAATAACACGAGGGTTACCTATAGGCACGAAATTGGTGAGCCCTTTTTGAACACACATTAACCTCATTTTTGTTATTAATATTATTTTCTTTTTACTCAATCGTAAAAGTAGACCTGATAATCCGTAAACTAAGTTGGGTATATAAATAGTTTATTCTTTTTATTATCTTAAGTTATTCGTGTCATAGAAACCATTTTTTTTTCTCGTGCTAATTTTATTGCTATATTTGTCACATACCTCATGTCAGACTTAAAAGAAACCCATAATCTGGAGGATTTGTCACCAGTGGAGATAGACACTGTTATGACTACGAAATCTCGACTTCCAGAATTTGATCGTAGTGATCCTGAGTTGTGGTTTGCTCAACTCGAGCATTATTTCACGAGACACAATATCAAATCTGAAGGGATTCGCTATAGAGATTTGTGTTCTATCCTTCCTCCTTCAGTCGCCAAAGAAGTCCGTGACTTGATTTTAGATCCACCATCACCACAACCGTACACCGTCTTAAGACGAGAGATAATGAACCGTTTATCATTATCAGATAGTCAAAGAATCCAAAGACTTTTTCAAGGTGAAACACTAGGTGATCGGTCGCCGTCACAGTTTCTACGTCACCTGCAAGTCTTAGTGGGTGATAACACAGTGGGTGAAGCAGTCCTAAAACAAGGATGGATACAAGCTCTCCCATGCTACGTCCAACACTGTTTGGATGCACAAGATCCTGAAACCTCATTATCTCATTTAGCGCGTATAGCTGATAGAATAATGGAAAGAGGTCCTCCAACTGGATCAGGCACAATAAATCACACACAGAAAGTAGAATCAGCAAAAGACCCCGTCATAGAAGGACTCATTGCGAGTGTTAAGAGTCTCACTGAGGCTGTCACCAGAATGCAAATGGGTCATACAAACAGGAGCAGGTCACCACAACGATCACGATCCAAGTCACAAAATAGGTCACAAATGTCCAGACAATCTGGGCAGTTTTGTTGGTACCACTGGAAGTTTGGTGTCAACTCAACCAAGTGCAGGCAACCATGCGCCTGGCCTAAGCATAATTCCAAGACAGCGGGAAACGAGTAACCCCTCCCCAGGTCGCGACAACTGAGGAGGGGCGCCTAAACAGTCGCTTGTTTTATGTCAGAGACAGAAACTCGGGCTTGAATTTCTTGGTGGATACTGGCGCTGCTCTTAGCATTATCCCTCGAAATAAAACTGAGATTAGTCGAGAAACATCCCCGATTACACTTCAAGCTGCAAATAAAACTACAATCGCGACATTTGGGCAGAAAACGTTAACCCTAGATTTGGGGTTCAGAAGGCAATTCCCTTGGGTTTTCACGGTAGCCGACTTAGATCTGGCAATACTGGGGATGGACTTTCTAGAGAGATACGAATTTCTTGTTGACACCAAGAAACGGCGATTAACACTAAAAGAAACTTCGTTTTACACAAAAGGCAAAGAAAGTCACATCAGCTCTCTTAACTTGATTCAAACCCCTCCAATAACAACAGCGAAATTCCAAGGTATACTCGCGGAATTTCCAAACTTAACCAAACCAAACCCACAGCCTTCCAAAGACAAACTAAAAGTAAGTCACACTATCAAAACCGAAGGTGCACCGGTGTTTGCAAAACCCAGGAGACTAGCACCAGATAAGCTCAAAATCGCTAGAGCCGAGTCAGACCCTGCATCTACTCAAAAATATTTTTCCCCTCATTCCGCCTCACCTACAACTCCCCAGACCTTTTACCTTTGATATATAAGTGTTATGTTAAATATTTTTTTTAAATACTGGACACATAAGCTAGGTATTCCGAAACGATGGCTGAGGATTTTAATCAAACTCATACAACTAACACTGGCAAATACAACGAATTCAACAAGCAACTCAGTAAAATTATGCGCTCTTGGTTACGTACCTGGTTATAAAAGGCGGTTGTCACAATCCCAAGGTCACACATTTGAACGGGTTTGACAATGAGTCCAACTAGCAAGTTTACACTTTTACATATATACATTATAAAAAGATTTTTTTTTGTTTCATACAAGATGGCTACACTATGTCTATTTTCTTCCAGAATACCAATCCGTTCTGGAGGCCAATCATTTACGTGGAACCGAACAATTATCAATTATATTTATGTATTTCCATTTTGTATCTTATTATTTTGATGCAGGCAGTGGAGCAGTTCTTTAGGTTTGATTGGTTTTCACCATTACCTTTGAAGTAGATTCTTCTTTACTTTTTACTTGAGGGCGACTCAAGAGGCAGGTGAGTAAACACCTGATAGCCGGTCTGAGCATGGAAAAATCGTACCTCACCAACATGGTGTTGGGTAGCCCGCTCGCGGCACTTCCTCAGATATTTTTATTCCACAGTCTAACACTCTTTCTCATGAAAGCACGCAGCAAACCGTCAGCAATAGTTGTAGAAGAAATCACATGCTACAAAATAAGATGACGAGCTAGTAAATGAAGAGACATCCATGGACTACCGTTGACAGCGTTAGTTGCCACTGATTGTAAGTCAAACATTGAGTGAGTTGATAATTTTCCCTTGGGATGAGAAATAGAACTAAGGTGTTTTTGATAGATAGGTTAATCGAACCGACGTTCCTACGGAAGTCGATTCTAGGGGGAAGCTAATGTAACAGCATAGGTTGGTTGGTTAAGAGTTGACCCCAAACAACCAAGCATATGCCAAAACAGTATTGTTCAAGTATTCATTCACTTCCTTATTTTGTATAATCGTTATATTCCTTATTATCTTATATTGAATGTTGAAAGCCTTTGTTTGTCTGAACATATAATCCCACGCTCCACTGTGACTGCGCTAAGATCGAAATAAAGACGTACTCAATTATTGTCTGATTTCTTCTATCAATAACACGAGGGTTACCTATAGGCACGAAATTGGTGAGCCCTTTTTGAACACACATTAACCTCATTTTTGTTATTAATATTATTTTTTTTTACTCAATCGTAAAAGTAGACCTGATAATCCGTAAACTAAGTTGGGTATATAAATAGTTTATTCTTTTTATTATCTTAAGTTATTCGTGTCATAGAAACCATTTTTTTTTCTCGTGCTAATTTTATTGCTATATTTGTCACATACCTCATGTCAGACTTAAAAGAAACCCATAATCTGGAGGATTTGTCACCAGTGGAGATAGACACTGTTATGACTACGAAATCTCGACTTCCAGAATTTGATCGTAGTGATCCTGAGTTGTGGTTTGCTCAACTCGAGCATTATTTCACGAGACACAATATCAAATCTGAAGGGATTCGCTATAGAGATTTGTGTTCTATCCTTCCTCCTTCAGTCGCCAAAGAAGTCCGTGACTTGATTTTAGATCCACCATCACCACAACCGTACACCGTCTTAAGACGAGAGATAATGAACCGTTTATCATTATCAGATAGTCAAAGAATCCAAAGACTTTTTCAAGGTGAAACACTAGGTGATCGGTCGCCGTCACAGTTTCTACGTCACCTGCAAGTCTTAGTGGGTGATAACACAGTGGGTGAAGCAGTCCTAAAACAAGGATGGATACAAGCTCTCCCATGCTACGTCCAACACTGTTTGGATGCACAAGATCCTGAAACCTCATTATCTCATTTAGCGCGTATAGCTGATAGAATAATGGAAAGAGGTCCTCCAACTGGATCAGGCACAATAAATCACACACAGAAAGTAGAATCAGCAAAAGACCCCGTCATAGAAGGACTCATTGCGAGTGTTAAGAGTCTCACTGAGGCTGTCACCAGAATGCAAATGGGTCATACAAACAGGAGCAGGTCACCACAACGATCACGATCCAAGTCACAAAATAGGTCACAAATGTCCAGACAATCTGGGCAGTTTTGTTGGTACCACTGGAAGTTTGGTGTCAACTCAACCAAGTGCAGGCAACCATGCGCCTGGCCTAAGCATAATTCCAAGACAGCGGGAAACGAGTAACCCCTCCCCAGGTCGCGACAACTGAGGAGGGGCGCCTAAACAGTCGCTTGTTTTATGTCAGAGACAGAAACTCGGGCTTGAATTTCTTGGTGGATACTGGCGCTGCTCTTAGCATTATCCCTCGAAATAAAACTGAGATTAGTCGAGAAACATCCCCGATTACACTTCAAGCTGCAAATAAAACTACAATCGCGACATTTGGGCAGAAAACGTTAACCCTAGATTTGGGGTTCAGAAGGCAATTCCCTTGGGTTTTCACGGTAGCCGACTTAGATCTGGCAATACTGGGGATGGACTTTCTAGAGAGATACGAATTTCTTGTTGACACCAAGAAACGGCGATTAACACTAAAAGAAACTTCGTTTTACACAAAAGGCAAAGAAAGTCACATCAGCTCTCTTAACTTGATTCAAACCCCTCCAATAACAACAGCGAAATTCCAAGGTATACTCGCGGAATTTCCAAACTTAACCAAACCAAACCCACAGCCTTCCAAAGACAAACTAAAAGTAAGTCACACTATCAAAACCGAAGGTGCACCGGTGTTTGCAAAACCCAGGAGACTAGCACCAGATAAGCTCAAAATCGCTAGAGCCGAGTCAGACCCTGCATCTACTCAAAAATATTTTTCCCCTCATTCCGCCTCACCTACAACTCCCCAGACCTTTTACCTTTGATATATAAGTGTTATGTTAAATATTTTTTTTAAATACTGGACACATAAGCTAGGTATTCCGAAACGATGGCTGAGGATTTTAATCAAACTCATACAACTAACACTGGCAAATACAACGAATTCAACAAGCAACTCAGTAAAATTATGCGCTCTTGGTTACGTACCTGGTTATAAAAAGCGGTTGTCACAATCCCAAGGTCACACATTTGAACGGGTTTGACAATGAGTCCAACTAGCAAGTTTACACTTTTACATATATACATTATAAAAAGATTTTTTTTTGTTTCATACAAGATGGCTACACTATGTCTATTTTCTTCCAGAATACCAATCCGTTCTGGAGGCCAATCATTTACGTGGAACCGAACAATTATCAATTATATTTATGTATTTCCATTTTGTATCTTATTATTTTGATGCAGGCAGTGGAGCAGTTCTTTAGGTTTGATTGGTTTTCACCATTACCTTTGAAGTAGATTCTTCTTTACTTTTTACTTGAGGGCGACTCAAGAGGCAGGTGAGTAAACACCTGATAGCCGGTCTGAGCATGGAAAAATCGTACCTCACCAACATGGTGTTGGGTAGCCCGCTCGCGGCACTTCCTCAGATATTTTTATTCCACAGTCTAACACTCTTTCTCATGAAAGCACGCAGCAAACCGTCAGCAATAGTTGTAGAAGAAATCACATGCTACAAAATAAGATGACGAGCTAGTAAATGAAGAGACATCCATGGACTACCGTTGACAGCGTTAGTTGCCACTGATTGTAAGTCAAACATTGAGTGAGTTGATAATTTTCCCTTGGGATGAGAAATAGAACTAAGGTGTTTTTGATAGATAGGTTAATCGAACCGACGTTCCTACGGAAGTCGATTCTAGGGGGAAGCTAATGTAACAGCATAGGTTGGTTGGTTAAGAGTTGACCCCAAACAACCAAGCATATGCCAAAACAGTATTGTTCAAGTATTCATTCACTTCCTTATTTTGTATAATCGTTATATTCCTTATTATCTTATATTGAATGTTGAAAGCCTTTGTTTGTCTGAACATATAATCCCACGCTTCACTGTGACTGCGCTAAGATCGAAATAAAGACGTACTCAATTATTGTCTGATTTCTTCTATCAATAACACGAGGGTTACCTATAGGCACGAAATTGGTGAGCCCTTTTTGAACACACATTAACCTCATTTTTGTTATTAATATTATTTTTTTTTACTCAATCGTAAAAGTAGACCTGATAATCCGTAAACTAAGTTGGGTATATAAATAGTTTATTCTTTTTATTATCTTAAGTTATTCGTGTCATAGAAACCATTTTTTTTTCTCGTGCTAATTTTATTGCTATATTTGTCACATACCTCATGTCAGACTTAAAAGAAACCCATAATCTGGAGGATTTGTCACCAGTGGAGATAGACACTGTTATGACTACGAAATCTCGACTTCCAGAATTTGATCGTAGTGATCCTGAGTTGTGGTTTGCTCAACTCGAGCATTATTTCACGAGACACAATATCAAATCTGAAGGGATTCGCTATAGAGATTTGTGTTCTATCCTTCCTCCTTCAGTCGCCAAAGAAGTCCGTGACTTGATTTTAGATCCACCATCACCACAACCGTACACCGTCTTAAGACGAGAGATAATGAACCGTTTATCATTATCAGATAGTCAAAGAATCCAAAGACTTTTTCAAGGTGAAACACTAGGTGATCGGTCGCCGTCACAGTTTCTACGTCACCTGCAAGTCTTAGTGGGTGATAACACAGTGGGTGAAGCAGTCCTAAAACAAGGATGGATACAAGCTCTCCCATGCTACGTCCAACACTGTTTGGATGCACAAGATCCTGAAACCTCATTATCTCATTTAGCGCGTATAGCTGATAGAATAATGGAAAGAGGTCCTCCAACTGGATCAGGCACAATAAATCACACACAGAAAGTAGAATCAGCAAAAGACCCCGTCATAGAAGGACTCATTGCGAGTGTTAAGAGTCTCACTGAGGCTGTCACCAGAATGCAAATGGGTCATACAAACAGGAGCAGGTCACCACGACGATCACGATCCAAGTCACAAAATAGGTCACAAATGTCCAGACAATCTGGGCAGTTTTGTTGGTACCACTGGAAGTTTGGTGTCAACTCAACCAAGTGCAGGCAACCATGCGCCTGGCCTAAGCATAATTCCAAGACAGCGGGAAACGAGTAACCCCTCCCCAGGTCGCGACAACTGAGGAGGGGCGCCTAAACAGTCGCTTGTTTTATGTCAGAGACAGAAACTCGGGCTTGAATTTCTTGGTGGATACTGGCGCTGCTCTTAGCATTATCCCTCGAAATAAAACTGAGATTAGTCGAGAAACATCCCCGATTACACTTCAAGCTGCAAATAAAACTACAATCGCGACATTTGGGCAGAAAACGTTAACCCTAGATTTGGGGTTCAGAAGGCAATTCCCTTGGGTTTTCACGGTAGCCGACTTAGATCTGGCAATACTGGGGATGGACTTTCTAGAGAGATACGAATTTCTTGTTGACACCAAGAAACGGCGATTAACACTAAAAGAAACTTCGTTTTACACAAAAGGCAAAGAAAGTCACATCAGCTCTCTTAACTTGATTCAAACCCCTCCAATAACAACAGCGAAATTCCAAGGTATACTCGCGGAATTTCCAAACTTAACCAAACCAAACCCACAGCCTTCCAAAGACAAACTAAAAGTAAGTCACACTATCAAAACCGAAGGTGCACCGGTGTTTGCAAAACCCAGGAGACTAGCACCAGATAAGCTCAAAATCGCTAGAGCCGAGTCAGACCCTGCATCTACTCAAAAATATTTTTCCCCTCATTCCGCCTCACCTACAACTCCCCAGACCTTTTACCTTTGATATATAAGTGTTATGTTAAATATTTTTTTTAAATACTGGACACATAAGCTAGGTATTCCGAAACGATGGCTGAGGATTTTAATCAAACTCATACAACTAACACTGGCAAATACAACGAATTCAACAAGCAACTCAGTAAAATTATGCGCTCTTGGTTACGTACCTGGTTATAAAAGGCGGTTGTCACAATCCCAAGGTCACACATTTGAACGGGTTTGACAATGAGTCCAACTAGCAAGTTTACACTTTTACATATATACATTATAAAAAGATTTTTTTTTGTTTCATACAAGATGGCTACACTATGTCTATTTTCTTCCAGAATACCAATCCGTTCTGGAGGCCAATCATTTACGTGGAACCGAACAATTATCAATTATATTTATGTATTTCCATTTTGTATCTTATTATTTTGATGCAGGCAGTGGAGCAGTTCTTTAGGTTTGATTGGTTTTCACCATTACCTTTGAAGTAGATTCTTCTTTACTTTTTACTTGAGGGCGACTCAAGAGGCAGGTGAGTAAACACCTGATAGCCGGTCTGAGCATGGAAAAATCGTACCTCACCAACATGGTGTTGGGTAGCCCGCTCGCGGCACTTCCTCAGATATTTTTATTCCACAGTCTAACACTCTTTCTCATGAAAGCACGCAGCAAACCGTCAGCAATAGTTGTAGAAGAAATCACATGCTACAAAATAAGATGACGAGCTAGTAAATGAAGAGACATCCATGGACTACCGTTGACAGCGTTAGTTGCCACTGATTGTAAGTCAAACATTGAGTGAGTTGATAATTTTCCCTTGGGATGAGAAATAGAACTAAGGTGTTTTTGATAGATAGGTTAATCGAACCGACGTTCCTACGGAAGTCGATTCTAGGGGGAAGCTAATGTAACAGCATAGGTTGGTTGGTTAAGAGTTGACCCCAAACAACCAAGCATATGCCAAAACAGTATTGTTCAAGTATTCATTCACTTCCTTATTTTGTATAATCGTTATATTCCTTATTATCTTATATTGAATGTTGAAAGCCTTTGTTTGTCTGAACATATAATCCCACGCTCCACTGTGACTGCGCTAAGATCGAAATAAAGACGTACTCAATTATTGTCTGATTTCTTCTATCAATAACACGAGGGTTACCTATAGGCACGAAAGGTTTTTCTTCTGACTTACTACTTACGGATTTAGCCCTGTTTGTATCCATATATCAACCATCAGTTATTATGATATCTGAAGCATGGACTAACAGTAATATTTCCGACCAAAGTATATCTTTTGATAACTATTTCCTGTATAGAAGTGACAGATTGAATGGACGAGGCGGAGGATGCCTTATTTACGCTCACTCTAGCCTAAACTCACTACTATGTGATATGCCTGAACTAAACAAAATGAAGGATTCGGTGTGGATTGTATTAAAGCTGTCGAATTC